TGCGCGCGACGCAGCCGCTGAGCAAGCTGACCCGGTGGCAACACATTCTCCCACCACTGCTCTCGAGATGAGCTGGAAGAGTTGCTACCCGAACGTGAGGGCCCACTTGTCGCGCTCATGCTCACCGGCCGGTGGGTTCGATGCGATGATTGAGTGCCTGTCAACACTGGCGACGCGGCCTCATCGTCGACCGGAAAGTCTACGTGCGGTGACCGCAGGCTTGGACTAGTAAGCCTAGGCGTCCCGCGACCCGAAGATTGTCCACTTCGGTACCCAGCTGCCTCGATGGCACCTGCAACAGCAAGATGATGGAGATCGACGTCGTTGCTGGGGTGCCAATGCTGCGCATCCTGAGTTCCTGATCGCCCAGGGCCAACGGAATGGCCTGGGGCACAGCGCACATCTCGCCTACCAGCTCCGTCTGGCATCGCGTCCAGAATAGGCGAGTGAGGCGCGGAGCCTAATGGCGAGCGATGGTTCGGATGCTGGATGGCAGAGCGGCTCGTCGATGCATGCCAGTGGGAGGCATCCGAGCCTGGGGCGGCGGAGGTGGATGGCCAATGCGCGATGGAGGTGAGGGTTGATGACATGCCTGAACCTCAGCGATGGCGATCCACCGCTGTCTGTGGCAGCCACCACGCTTTGCGTTGACTAGCACGGTGAGGGGCAGCAGCACGCTTAGTCGCAAGGATTGCAACTGCGCACTGCATATGCCCGGCCTTATAACTCACAAAATCAGCAAGACCGATGCTGCTCGCACACGCTCAAATGTCGGAAGTAACGTGCGACGAAAGCTCGGCGCCAATTTGCAGGCTTTCCAGAAATAGGCTACCCGGAAGATTGTCAAGGATTCCACCTGCTCAGACAGAGCAAATCGGCGCAAGCTTGTAGAAAGCCGACGTGTCGTCTATATATGCACACAGCGATAAGTAGGTGACTGAAGAGCCTATACGTGCGGACCTTGGAGATGATGGTGGTGGCAAAGGTAGGAACCGTGGGCAGCAGGATGACCGATTGCAGTCAGCAGGCCCGTCGATGGTTTTCAGCCTTGGCGGTGCAGTAGAGACACCAGTTCGCAATCGTGTCGAAGGGGGGGCACGCTGGTATCAGGAAGGTGTGGAACTGGGCGGGGGAGCGCGCGCGCGTAGGTGGCAGACCGATTTCTCATGAGCGTGGTGAAAAAGAAGTTGATGGCGAATTCTAGCATGCGGACCCAATTTGTGAGGGGCGACTGATGGAGTCGGAGCGGCTTTCAGAAGGGTGGCGAGACCGGCTGGTGATCGGGGAATGTGCTGGACCGGTCGTTTGACCAGTCGTGATTACAACGCTGGCTGAACGGACTGCCGTGGTTCGAATTGCCGAGAGCACGCAACTCTCTGTGGGCCATGTCGCGCATGTGTATGTGCAAGGCGATATAGCGACGTAGGCCATGCGGTTCGTATGGAGCGCAGCAGGTACCTGCAGACGACCCCCAGCAGCGAGCTTCAACAAGCTAGACGCGCAGCTGGACGTGATTTCACGCTCACCCTTGGGTCATTTCAAAACCGGCTACTGTGCGCCCCGACGCGCGGGGAGAGCGGAATCAAATATGAAAGAAATTGATTGATTGCAACGCGTCCAGGACCGGTGAGCAAATTCGAAACGATCCTGGCTGGCATGGGATCCATGCAGAACCTAGATTGAGGAGATAGAGGCCTCTTGGAGGACAGGCACATTGGAGCTAGTCGTGAATCGCCTTGTGTAAGTGCGATTGAGACACGTCTCGAGCATGCCCAGTCGTTAGTTGAGGGTGAGAGCTTGGTGACGGAGGACTCCGGAGAGAAAAAGGCCCAAGCTCCGCGGTTGCATATGGGTGCACTGTGACTGCTGTGCTGGTGCGCCTGGTACGCCGCAAGAGCAGCAGCACAACTCAACGTCACGCGGTATCAGCCTCATCAGCTGCGTCGCAGCAACTTATCGAATCGCGGATCAGCCGGCTGCGCGAGCGTATAGAAAGTGCGGTGAAGTGCCTCATTACAGTTGACGACCTTCTGGCAGCCGCACCCATGCATGCAGCAAGTTTCAATTGCTGCAGCGCCGGGTGTTGAAACAGGCTCGGCGCTGGATTTCACACGCGTGACGAGAAGCACTCGCATGCAAATCTGCATGACTCGTGACTGTTGTGACTGTGATCCGCGGACTTGGCCGACGAGGGCTGCGAAATCCTTGCACGTGAGTCTCTGCGTGCTCAAGAGAGTCAGAGTCGAAACGCTCGTCGACCCAGCTTCGCATATCTCACACAATCGACCAGCAGCGATGAGCTTGAATAGAGAGCAGGTCAGTGATGAGCGTCTCTCGCTTTCATAGCAAACCAAATGTGATTTCAAGTTCTGAAAGAGGTTCATCAAAATGTTTCGCATCCGATGGGCTTACGTTCTCCTGGATCAGGAACTCACGCAGCACGCGGAAATGGCGTTCACCTATAAGCTGCATGCATGCATGCATGCATGCAGCTCCATCAAGGCGGCCGTTATAGACAGTATTCCCATTGCTGAGTTGTCCGTATTGCGCGCCGGCTTTGTTGAAAGCTCTGAGAATGAAGCGAGCTGACCAAACATGTCACCCATCATGGACCCGCGGAGGCATTTCTGGAGCTCTCGATGCGCACTGTGCTTGCGACTCACTGTACCTGTCCCGCGGTGCGTATCTCACTGATGATAGACCTCATGGATTCAGAGCGCCTGGCGTAGACCTTGCAAAGCCACCGCAAGCGTCAGGTAATCGCGATTGCATGGATGCCGCTCGGAGAAAGGAGCGAAAGATGCGTGAGGAGTGACTCACACCATATGGCTTGGAATTACGAATGGTGTACGTCGATCAGAATGAGAAGAGAATCAAGAATCAAACAATGTGAATGCCTCGGCTCAGGCCAGCTGCTGCCCACTGTACAGCAGCAAGCTGAAATAGAAATAGCACCTGCTGCATGCGTCTCTTTATCGTCGAGCAAAGCGTGCAATCTGCCGCCAGCCAGTGCGCGTCTCAGCTGGGCCGACAAAGCCACGACGTTTTGTACAGTCGTGAGTCACGACTGCGAGCACTATATTCTTGTTATCTTATTTCGTGACTGATCGTGATTGCACCTGTCTGTTGAGAGCGTGCCTCACCTCACGTCCAGTCCGCTTCGAAAGCCAGCTAGCTCCTCACATGTACAATCGCGAATCACAATGTGGCTGCTTGGAGCCCGTGTTCCTCATTCCATCTCGCATAGATTACACGATCTGCTTCCGCTCACGCTAGCGCCTCTGACATGTCCATACACACGAACAGCAGAGTCGCAAAAATGCGGGTGCTGTGTAGCGTCAATCCATGCAA